TTTGTCGCCGATTTTCGCGGCACGCCCGGGTGCCCGGGTGCCCAGGGGTGCCCGGGGCCCGGGTGCCCGGGGGGGCCCGGGGGGGCCTGGGGCCCAGGTGCCCGGGTGCCCGGGTGCCCGGGCGTGCCCGGGGGTGCCCGGGGGTGCCCTATAGCCCTATAGCCCTAAGCCTTGTAGCCCTATAGCCCTATAGCCCAATAGCCTAATAGCCCTATAGCCCTACAACTCTATAGCCCTATAGCTCTATAGCCCTATAGCTCAATAGCCCTATGGCCCTATAGCCCCCTAGCCCTGTAGCCCTGATTGGGTTATTTTCTCCAGTATCATCTTCTTTTGACTTCATTTCTGAGGCTAGGTTGCCTCCAAAGCACACACTCAATTCTGAGAGGGTAAGGGGGCTCATCAGAAGCCCGCCTGGCGCCCAAGAGAAGCTTCCCTGCAAGCTTGTGGGGCCTTCTAAGACGACGCCCGCCCTGTGCAGGGGCCCTCCGCCTGCTTCGGAGACCAGCCCCCTCGCGCCACCCCCCCCCGCGGGCGCCGCCAGCTCCCAGCGGCCCAGCTCATGCCAGTGGTAGTGAGGAGGAGGAGGAGGAGGAGGAGGAGGAGGAGGAGGAGGAGGAGGAGGAGGAGGGAGAGGAGGAGGAGGAGGAGGAGAAAAGGAGGAGCGTGCGTTGGCCAGCAGAACTGGCAGTCGCAGCAGCACCGGCATCCACCGCGCGACCCGCGGCAGCGTCGGCGACGGCGGCTGCAGAAGCGCCGGCGGCGGCGGCGGCGGCAGCGGTGGCACAGACGGTGGTGGTGGCGGTGTGCATGGTCGGCGCCCCCAGACGCACGTGTGGCTGGTTCGTGGCGACTCCGGCGTCGGTCTCTGGTCGATCGCAGCTTTCCGACAGTGCATATCGTTAGAGATCGGCCGACTCGGAGACCCTGGCGGCGCTCCACCTGGAACGCCTGTGGGCGGGGTCGCCCTCGCGTCGACACCTGGCGGCGAGCCCAGGGGAGAGATGAGAGGGGGCAGGCCTTCTCCAAAAAGGCGGCTGGGCTTCTCAGAAACTCTTGGGTCTTCTGAGAAGCCGTCTATGTATTCGGAGAAAGCCTGGAAAGATCGTCAGAAGGCGGGAGGCCTTGTGACAAGCCCCGCCGCCTGCTAAGAAAAGGTCTGCCACCTTACTCTTTCTGACTTGTCGGCAAGACTCGTGTTGTCGGCTCCAGCTCTCACGTCTTCCGCTCACGCCAAATTCCGTCCAACTACAACAGAAGCCTTGATAATTCGTCTCGGGGTGCTCGTGACATGCCGGCGGAAGCGCACCACATAGGGGACTCTTAGGAAGCAACTGCTGGGAGGTCTTCGTCGGAAGGATCAACGACGTTTAGGCCCCATTGAGGGGGGCTGTTACTGACTACCTACAAGACCACCCCAACCCAACCCGAAGACCCGAATCTGACCCGAATTTCGGGTTGGGAAGCGTACGGATTCCATGTGTTTTTTCAATGTTCCCCGCCCCCCCCTCCACCGGAAATCGAGGATAAACTTGGGCCTTCGGGTTGGGTTGGGGTGGTTTGGTGGCTGGTGAATTACGCCGGACTAGGCCGCCAGCTCAGCGGGGTTAAGCCGGATCAAGCCGGCTCAAACCAGATTGAGCGAGATCGAGCCGGAGCAGGACGGATCTCATGCCAGGGCAGAGTCAGAACTGGACCCCCCAGGAAGTGCACCACTCCGACGGACTCGGAATCGGAAGTGCGCCAAAAAAAGTGGCGCCAGGGCGGGGAGCAGCCCGCCGCGGGAGCCACAGCCCGTGGCTGCAGGAGCTGGGGTACCAGTCCACAGCCCAGGCGCGGCCGCCAGCAGCGCGGGCGGGGCTGCGGCTGCAGAGCAGAAGCACCGTGCCACGCGGGCCTGCCGAGGCAGCGGGTCAGCCTTGGACGGCGGATCGCTCGCAGAGGGTGGTGGCCCACCGATTGGCACCCGTCGGGCAGGACATCGCAGCCATCAAACAGCACTGTGGGGAAAAAAACACAGACACACACACACACACACACACACACACACACACACACAACACAAACAAACACACACACACACACACACACACTGTGGGAAAACACACACACAAAACACACACTGTGGGAAAACACACACACACACACACACACACACAAAACACACAAAACACACAGTGTGCGTTTTGGGTCTCCCGGGACAACCTGAGTGAGAACATCGCACCTCGCCGGGCTGCCGTCGAAGGCCTCGCAGGGCGCGTGGCGGCGTTGGAAACGCAAGGTCCCACCTCCAAGCCTTCCTCAGTGGCAGCTGGAACGGCACCTAGTAGGAGTTCAACGTTCGGCACAAAACTATAGGAATTGGAACGCGAGGTTTGCTATGTGACGGTCGACCAGAGCGTCCACAACAAGTGGACAATCTATTCCGACCACATTAGTGATTGGGTACCTACCACATGACAGCCTCTCCGAAACCGCACGCTGGGTTGCAGAAGTGCTC